AATCAAAAAGGTTAAAAGAAATGCACAAGCCTTGAATGAATTTTTAACAATGAAGGATCTGTTGTGAAATTAATTTCCAATCTAAATTTAAATTGAGGTAGTTAGATTTTTTTGTTCAATAAATAAATTTTTTGCTCATTAGCATTAAATAAATTGTCTACACTTAATTTTTTGAAACCATGGATCATAGAATCAATCATTATGCCATTTCCCAGATCTCATTTCTTTCCAGTACTCAAACTCTTTTGCATTAACCATCCACAAGGCCTAACGTTGCCGCATGTCACCTTGATCGTAGATCAAAATGTGTTTGCTCCTGGTCAGATCTATGTGGTGATGAGTCAATCTCCTTCCTGGGATTCGTTGGACATTTTTGATTTCGGCTTCGATTCCTTGAAATTAGGTAGAAATGTTGATAAATGAATACAAGGGATTGAAATTGTTAAACGAAAAGGGTCAATGGAGATGAGTCAACACTAATTTGGTTTTTCGTAATGGTAAATAGATGTTGAAAACATTTGTCAAAAGCATTTAGACTATTTTGTATATATATCATTTTGTTTATCTATAATAATAATATAGTTAATGTTTAAATTAGACTGTTTTGTATACATCATATCACCATGATAACACATGCAACTTCTACTTTTTTATTATAAGCATATGAAGCATAAAAGTTAAAACCTTAATCTAGTAATCTTGACTTCTTTGTACATACGTGTTAGGCTATTAATAGATTACTTTGTGCATACATATGTATAGTGCAAGTTCTGTGCCACATTCATTCCTATAAATGATTAGAACAATAAACAACAACAATAATGATTATAAGTTCGTTTGATTTTTTCATACATAGTTCATGTTTCCTCTTGATCGTATATCTTAAATTGGTCATGTTTGCAATCATTTTAACATTTGTTATATTAGGGTTATTTTGATTATGTCGAGAGATATGGTCAAGAGAAGAGTTAGAAAGAGAGTTATTCTTCAACCAAGTTGAAAACCAACCCTTTAAATACATTTTCAAGTAGTACAATTTAATTTACTAGACTATTTCAAACAGTGTTGGCAATTTAACTGGTTCAAACCTTTTTTTGAACTATTTGAACTTTTGAATTGTTAATTAGTTAAATAACA